TGACCGAAATTCGATTACACGAACGATGAAATTATGTAACTTGTTGATAGGGGTGGGTTCGGTTCTTGCGGTTCGGTTTTGACCTAAAAACAAATATAGAATCAAAGTAAAAAGTTCGGTTCGGTTTCGGTTCGGTTTTACACTCCAAAACTTGGAACCACGGTTTAATTGGTTCGGTATGTTTCGATTCGGTTTCGGTTTTTTCGGTTTTTTACCAAAAAATTATCATTTGATTTAAAATTGATATAGTACTTTGAGGGATCAAACATATATTACATAAAGAATGCAAGCACACTACAACAAATAAAATAAAAGTGAAAATAAATAAATAAATAAATATCTCATGAATTATATGAGTATGCGAGAGAGATAAAAGTATATATTATTAATTTACATGGTTTGTGACAAGTTCAAAAAAAGTTCATGAGTATATATGTTATATGTGATATAGTTGAGATAAATATTTGTTGTTTCATCAATACAAATTCTTTAAGTTAAATAAAAATAAAAGTTAATTAATACTAATAACAAGTAAAAACATACTCCGTATTATTAGTATAGCTACATTATTACGTGCAATGAATGTGTAAATGAATTCATAAACTAAACTAAACATAACAAACATTATTTCTCTAGCACAAGAAAACCAAAAACTATTAATGATATTAGGTTTAGTTAGGATTAATGCTTAACAATGGACAAATAAATTTTATATTTTCACTATTCGGTTTGTTCGGTTCGGTTCGGTTTTGAAGGGTAAAAACCAAAACCGAACCAAACAACTACGATTCGGTTCGGTTTTTTACATTCGGTTTCGGTTTGTTAGCGGTTCGGTTTTATTTGGCTACGGTTCGGTATGATTTGATTCGGTTTTCGGTTTTCGATTTTTCGGACCCAGCCCTACTTGTTGAGGTGGTTCTATTCGACAGTTCTATCTAATTTCGCTCGAATTTCTGCTCATGCCCAAAACACTTATTTACTCAATTATTCTTTAGTGTTTAGCCCTTTACATTTACCACATACATTTATACGGAGTAATCGATGTACTCACAGAGAAATCAAAGAAATCAGTGAGAAGAGCCGCACAATCGACAGTGCCACGGTGGCCGGAGAGGCGAGCGAGGCGTTCAGATAGTCTCCGGTCGGCGCCCAGCGGGTCAGATTTCTAGGAACGCAGCATGTCGCAGGTTCAAGCGTTCAGTCGTTCTAGATTCTTTGGCAGTCCGACGGATGCTTTCAGGCGTTGGAGACTTGGAGCAGTAAATCAGCCTCCAGCTAGTTAATTAATTTTTCTGCGGAGAGTTATTATACAGAATACATAATACTAATAGGGTTTTTATTTTTTTGGGGCTCTCTTGGAATGTGAGGCCAAGGCACTTGCCTGGGTGAACTGTCCCTATAGCCGCCTCTCTTTAAGGGATGAAACTCAAATATTGAATGGTCATAATCAACGTTAAGAGACCGTTTGACAACATTGTTTTTCGGCTTATAAGGCTTATCAGCCAACTTTTTCACGAAATACATAACTTTTGTTTTCGCGCGCTGAATTGTGTAACAAGCAGAAAAAGTAAGGATGTTGCAGTTACTTTTCTGGCTGTATTGACTGAAGATACTGTATATGACCATTTTAGTTATTTTTACATACTACAGGTATAATTTTTCTTTATTTTATTAATTAAATATATTTTAAAAATAATTTTTTCTTAAATCAGCAGAATCAGCCAATGCACCCACTTCAGGCAGAACTTCATAAATTTCAGCAGAATCAGCCAAATCAGCTGATTTCCGTGCTACCAAACGGGCTCTAAGAGTACTTGTTTGTTGTTTATTAGTTACTCCGTACAAAATAATTTGATTTTTATGTTGTGTACACCTATGTTTAAAAAACCGACCCGATCCGGCCGGGTTGATCCGGAACCCGGTGACCCGGACAAAAACCGGTTCGGTTTTTTCAAAACCCGGAAATGGTCAAAAACCGGAAAAACTCGGCTGACCCGGGAAAACCCGGTCAAGACCCGGACCCAAGAAACCCGAAAAGCCCGGTAAAACCCAGTTTTTGGGTGTTTTTACAAAAAAAAGTAATTTCTTTTTTTATTTTTCAATGCATTTTTATACCAATAAAATTGCAATTTCAATACCTTAAAAAGAAAAACTACGTGATATATTTATATATTTATTTATTTATTTAATAATGAATATCATGCCAAATTATAATATAGATATACAATAAATATAAAAATATCATTATATATTTTTATAAGATCAAAATATGCATTGAAATATTTTAAGAGTGTATTAAATGCTTAATAAGTAGTATTGTTTGTTGATTATTATGAATAATGACTAATTTTTATTATAATTTTATATATAATTATATGTTTACTATTATTATATAGACGTATAATGATTGACCGGTTTTCCGGCGTTGACCGGGTTGACCCATCGGGTCCGGATTGACCCGTGACCCAGTCATGTGGCCGGGTCACTCTCCGGTCCGGTTTTTACAACAATAGGTGCACACCCCTCATCCTACAAATAACTTCTCTGTTTCTTTATTCAAGCGTTTTAATTAAATTTCTGATTTTTTAATTCGAATGTATTAACTAAATACCAAAAAATAAAATTTTCAATAGTAAATGTTACAACTTTTGGGACTAAGACCATTTGGAGTGGTCATTCAATCTAAATGTCAAAAATGGACTCCGTCCATCTGAAAACAGTGTTTCGACTCCTATTTCTCTGCATTCCAGCACCGTCAATAAAATACACTTTGCACATTTTTTTACTTATCAATTTCGTAAAACATCTAATAAATTATTATAAGTAATGTTTTAGTTTTAATTTTTTTCTCTGATTAATTATAAAATAAAAAAGGACATATTTCGATGTAAAAATAAATAAATTTCATCAGTATTTTTTTTACGTTTTTGGATGATGTGAGTTAAAACACATTGGACAAAATATTAATTAAAAATATTTGAAAAATAAAATAAATTATTTTAACCGTTGAATTTCAATTTCAGCCGTTAGATCAATCTTTTTCCCGTTCAAACAATGTCCAAATCATCACAGAATCTACCATTTTTTAAAAAAATATAACCCAGCTACCATTGTCAGTGCTCTGTGACATCATGACATTTGGGTGACGTCGTCTACTTCAAATAATTCCTACGCACATCTGATTTGGCCGTCACACTTCCTTTAATTTTTCTTTTCCATTTAATTTTAGGGACTCAACTCCACCCTTCAAATGTAGAACCCTCCATCCCATTACCTATTTTTACTCCCCTACATTGCCAACCACTACAAGGAATTAGGAGTCCAAAAAAACTATTTTTAACATTTTGGACTCCTAATCCTACACCACTCCAAGTGGTCTAAGGCTTGGATGCTATTGTTTTTGTAGTAAATGTTACACTTATTCTAGCTTTTTACACTTTTTTTGTTTTTTATCATAAAAGAGCGGTCGTTATTTTAAAATTGAGAACACATACAAGACAACCTTTAGACAGAAATTACTGATCCAATCATGAACCCTAGGAGTAGACTTGGAGTCATCCAATTCATACAAAGCAACATGACTTGCTAAACCTGAAACGGACAAATTTAGACCTAAAACGATCGGAACCGAAACTCTCTGCCCATCAAAAGAACCCCAAATATCCAAACATTCAAAACAAATCTACCCAGACTAAAACAGAAACAAGTGCTACTAAAGAGAAAATAATACTGAAATAAAATCCTTCCACAAAGCTCTGCCTGGTATGAAGGTGGTTCTGAAGGAGGACGAGCTCTTACAATATGGGTCAATATCAACTCCACCACCATCGGAGTGGCCAACAAAGGCTTCATGATCCCACCTCAATGCAACCCCCCAGCTGCACCTCGTTCATCTGCCAACGCTACCTTCTAGTTGCAATAATCTGCATAGTTAGAACATTTAAAATTAGTAAAATCTGCCGCTCTAACCCCATATTGATAGGGGCGGCATAAAATCTCAACCCCTACGAAGAGGGGAGACGACCGCTAGGGTTTCTGTCTAGAGAAAAGAGAGAACATATGATATTTTGGTAATCACACCAATATACAATATTGAGTAGGGGTATACTTAAAAATTCAAAATAAAAATTGTTTTAAGGACATAGAGATTTTATTGACTTTTATTAATTAATTATTGAAGAGTATTAATCAAAGATATGGTAAACTATGTCTACAATTTCAATTTTTTTATTATAATTTAGAGTCCGTTTGATAACCTCATTTTTTACCTATCAAAATTATCATCCAACTTTTTTATCAAAATTATTATACCAAAAGTATAATTTTTGGTTTCACATGCTAACTCATTTAACAATAAAAAGAAATAAGGTTTCGGCCAGTATTCTAGCTGAATTTACCGATGGATATTTTAGCGAATTTTCAATAAAAAACTTTATGTTTAATAAGATTTTTTTTAAATACAATTGTTTGATATTTAGGTAGGTTTATTTTATTATTTGTTTTAAAAACTAATGTCTCGAGCTGAAATGAAATGCTATTTGAATGATGTGGACTTATTTAACAACACAACTAAAATAACGGCATTTATATTATTTCTTATCGTTATATTTGTTATTACCATTATCAATAATATTCAATCTATTTTTTTCCCAAAAAAAAATGTTTTTCAACCAACAAGATTATATGTAAATTAATTGTCCGAATCAGGAGGCGTTCTTAGGAGGCTTAATGCTTATTAAGCCCGACTCACTTCAAATCTAAAAATGCTTATACTTTTTATAATAAAAATTATGTAAAAACTATCAGAAAAATGTTTATACCATGATACTCTAAGCTTTAATGACCAATGAATCGATCAAAATTAAGCTCATTTTGAGGTCAATTGGTGAACCAAACACAGCCTATTAAAAGTCAAAATAGTATTGAAACGCATCAAAAAATTCTAAGAATATTAAACATGATGATGTATGGCAACATCTCATCTGCCCCTGTAACAATCGCATCAATCAATAAAGACTACTCAATCTGGCACTCGAATATTTTGCTGTAAACTAACAAGAAATTTCTATGCACATAAAGCGGTTCTCCAGCCACCATCCAGATTCCTTTCCTATTGATTTTCTTCCCTTTTTAAGCATCTCTGCCTTTTAAAAAAACCCATCTTCTCTTCATTTGGAGAGGAGTTTACAACTCCTTCGTTTCTACAGCTATGTCCACCTCGATTATAGCTGAATCAGTGGCGGTGAGCGCCGCCGCAGTCGTTGCGGCGGCGGCGGCGTGGGAGGAAGGGGATATGGTTAAGTGCGCTTGCTGCGGCTTGACGGAGGAATGCACTGAAGAGTACATAGAGAGAATCCGGGAACGGTACAAGGGGCAGTGGATCTGCGGCCTCTGCGCGGAGGCGGTGAAGGATGAAATTGTGCGCAGCGAGCGGCTGATCAGCGCGGAGGAGGCCTTGAACCGCCACCTCAACTTCTGTAAGAAGTTCCGGTTTACCGGCCCGCCGCCGGACCCGGTCATGCAATTGATCGGGGCGATGAAGCAGATTCTCAGGCGGAGCTCGGAGTCGCCCAGATTTTCGAGCAGTCCGGGAATGATCGGCGTTGACGTTGACCTGGCGGAGGGTTCAATTTCGACACTTGGGGATCATAGCATGGAAATGGAAGGCGGCTCATAAAAAAATAAAAAAAAGGACATTATTAAGCTTAGCAAAAGTAGTAAAATCGGGAACCAATAACTTGATCACGAGGTATTTTTGGATTTTGATTGTCACCGGAAATTTTATGTTTATTTAGTGCGATTATGTGAAAAGCATTGACTGACCCATCAAATTAGGATTAGACAAGATATTCATGGAGCTGGGTTTTAATGGAATTGAATAGAATCTAAAATTTCAAAGATGTTTTCAAAATAAAATTTGCTGGACTGGTCTGGTCTATTTTGTTTAAGTCTGGTCTGATCTGAACTGGTCAGGTTTGGTCTGATAAATTGTCTGGTCGGTGTGTATTTTGTAATTGCCCAAGTCCGGTCTACTCTTTTTAAATCAAGTCTGATTTGTTTAAGCCTGATTTAGTTTAGGACTGAAAACAATCCAAAAGAAAACATTCTAATCAAATTCCATGAATTGGAAATTCCCCCTCAGCGACTCTGAGAATCAGGCTTCGACATAGGTTTGTCACCACCATCACGACGCCCTAATATCCCTTTCACTGTTTGTTTGTTCCTCCCCTCGACTGCTTCAACGACCTCACTTCTAAACTACGCGGTTGTGTTGTGCCTCTCTCACATACTCGCAACAGTCGTAGGGACCACGCTTGTAGGCTCACAGGCGTCACTGTGGCAATCAGACTTCCTTGTCTTGTGCGGCACCACGCCTCCGCGGATCTGGCTCCGTCTCCACGCCTCCGCGACTCTAGCTCCGTCTCCACGCCTCGCCTAAGCCGCAACAGTTGTACTGTTGTAGTCTGACAGATTCCAGTGAAATCAAAGGGGATTGGTGAGATTGTTGGTTAGAATATCTCCTTCACGTTTTAGCCCAAAAATCCTTCCAAATCCTAAGAAATCCAAGTCTTAAAAAAATCATAGAATTGTTGAGGATATTAGAATTTAGGAGTTCATAAAATTCCATATTGAGGATATCAGAATTTAGAAGGATTCTAAAAATCCTTTAAAATCTCTCAGAATTCTAATCACGGACACCCCCTTCAATCCTTTCAACGAAAAAATCAAAATTGAACTAAATTCACCACATTCAATCACGATGTTGGTGAATCTGGCCTTGATTTAGCAGTAAGGTTGAGTGTCTGACCTTTTCGAAGTGTCTTATCAAAAATTCTACTCCAAAATTATTTTTAGTTATCTTGTGGTGTCTTTTTTACCATCCACCTTTAATTTGGTTGTTGCAATGCACTCTCCCATCACCATAAGGCAGAAAATCCTCCAATATTTGCAACACGTTCAATTCTAATTTACACTTAGATAATTGCAACACCTCTTTTTGATAATTTTTCATTCAAAATTACATAACTCTCTATTTTTGAATATTTTCATTCAAACCTTTTTTGTTATCATTGTGCCATACTTTTTAGACCTTTTCAAAACAATTAATTACCTATGCTATATCTTCTTCAAATTTTATACAAAAAACTAATATTGCAAAAATTAAGAGAGTATTAGGAAGTTTAATAGTAGTTTAACATATCTTCTACTCTCTCCTTCGTATTATATATTCGCAGCGTATTCATTTTAAAAAAAATGTCTTTTATGTGCACCAGTTTTTGGTAAATTATACCGTACAACCGGCTGTACGGTGCGCTCACCGTACAGCCGGGTATTTTTGAAATTAAATACAACTTCGGGCTTGAATCTTATCAGTTGCTCCCTGCTTTCCTTCTGTTTCCCGTCGTTTCCGTCCGTCTCTCTTTTTTCCCTCTATTCCAAACTTCAGTTCGTCTTGTTGTTTGGCCGTTCCTGATTTTGTTTTGTTTCTCCATACGTTGCTCTGGCTTGTTACTCCCTCTCGTTTCTTTTTTCTTTTTAGTTTAACAATCTTTGATTGCTTTTATTTTTTATTCAATTAAAATGAAAATGAAAAATATAAAATATTACTCCGTATTTAATGTTGGATTTTTATTTCAATTAACCTTCTGACTTATTTTTTAATTTATGTATTATAAAATATTTTAGATATTAATACATTTATGTCTCTGCAGAGTAAGTGTGATCACGTCGGCTTTCGTGGCTCTCGCAGCCACTTCATCACAATGAGTTTTATGTTAAATTCAAATGTGTATAACTCTTAAAATGAATGTGCAGACACAAATGAGCTTTTGATTTTTCGATACTCATTTTGTAAGTTGTGTATGCTCATTTGGTATCGGTCTTCTGCTCATTATATTTTTACATAATATTTTATTATAGACATGAGAGCACAGATCATGATGCTCAATAAAATATCTTAATGCTCAACTAAAAAACTTATGACTTTCATATTAATGCTCATTTTGTAAGTTACGTACTTACGTGTGCTCAATTGGTACTTCTATTATGTCCATTTTTAAAATGTCATAACAATGCATATTCCAAAAATACCATATTACATTAGATTCACATATTGAAATTCATAGACATTGGTTATAGATATAATTTAATGAGTTCTTATAAAAGAAAAAACAAGGTAAAGAAAGTGAATTACAATATATGAAGTTGATATCACAATACTCATTATTCGACTTTTAATGTTCAGTAGAATACGTCTGATGCTCTGTAAAAGCGTGTTAATGCTCATCTAACGAAAACCAAGATTTTTACTGAAATTACAAAAAATGTCACCGTTTGTTAGTTGTGATATCAGCTTTCTTGTAATAACGCGGTGCTCATTATTAGACGATTAATTACTCATTAAAGTGGAACTATTGCTCATTAACAGTACACTAATGCTCATTTAGCAGAAACTACGATTTTCACATTAATTACAAAATTGCCACCGAATTATTTTGTTATTTTTCCCTTGGGTCTATTACTGGGCCGGTTGTACGGTACTCACCGTACAGCCGGCTGAACCATATACATTTTATTTTACTATTATGTTTTCCATTTACTACTTTTCATGTTTTATTTATAATTATTTCGACTTATAATCTTTTTTTTACTTACTAATTTGTTTTCACGAATTTTTTTCACATTTTTTTTACACTAATCGCCCTACTTTTTTAAGTCCACGTATAAAATCCTGTATGTTGGGATAATGGACCACAATCTATTAGCATTTCGCAAAGCCCAATATGCAATCTCACGTTGCTTGATTTGCTTCTCGTCCATCGATAATGAACAAAGCCCATTAGTTAGCCCGCTGTGTAGCTTATTACTTCTGCCCGTTTAGTGTCCAAATATAGGGTGAAAATGCCCAAAATCTCAACCCCAATATCTTGGTTAAGCACCAAAGGGACTCAAGGGGGGAGGGTAGGTCTCGCATGTAGTTGGCCAAAATTCTAAGCTGATCTTTGGTAAAGTCTTTCCCATAGTGAGAACGAATGAATTTTAAACAAGTGAGTTAACCTTTTATGTATAAGTATGCGCCTGTAGAATGCTAAATATTCTTATAAGCATAATATTACAAGTAGTCTCTGATCTTATATTATTGATATGAAGTGTCACTAATTAATAGATTGATATGTTGGTGCAAACAAGTCACATTGCTAAAGCTATATGTGAACCGATTGGTCAAAACTCGATATAAGATTCGATAAATTCAAACCGACTCGTTAAGTAATTAAGCTAAACTCGAACGCACTCAATTCATTTGGACTCACGACTCGAAAGTTGTCTCTCATGCCATAACATACACACGCGACACATATGTACACACACAGAAATATACACACATATTATATTTATTTGTTTCCTTTTTAACTGGTGATTGCCACAAGATCTCACTTGTTTAATGCATCTCCTCCAAATCAAAAGTAAGAGATGTCTTAACTAAATGACTCAAGCGGTACCAATTTCTAACGTTTGACAACACTGTTTTTCGGCTTATCAGCCAACTTTTTCACCAAACACGTAATTTTTGTATTCGTGCGCTGAATTGTGTAACAAGCAAAAAAAGTAAGGTTGAAGTTACTTTTCTGGCTGTATTGACTGAAGTTACTGTAAATGACGATTTTAGCTATTTTTACATACATTTTTTTTTATTAACAAAATATACGGAGTATCTTTTTTTTTTTATAAATCAGCAGAATCAATTAGTGCAGCCACTTCAGCCAGAACTTCATAAATTTCAGCAGAATCAGTTAAATCAGCCGATTTTCGTGCTATCAAACGACTCTAACTTTGCCTACAGTCACATTAATGAGATTCTAGGGAGTATTGATTATTTGAGATAATGATTTTGTTAACTAAATTGTTAGAATCTCATTCAATCACTAGCATTAACAAGATGGTTTTTTGTTTCAAAAAAACAAGACCATTTTCTTCCATTTGCCCAAAATGTAGGCTACATTCAACCACCAAAGAGAATTGTGGTAGACTGACTGGTAGTTGTAATAGCCAAAACCTTGAAGCGCTAGCTTCCAACTATGCAGGAAACAATCACGCCACGAAACATACCAAATCAACAAATATATATCGTCCACGTGGCCCAATTATAACCACCGATGAATATTCATTTCAACCATATATCTTCTTCCCCTTTATGAACAAGCATCACACTTATCTCCCCATTGGCCCATTCCAACATGACTGGTACTTACAGACTGTCGTCTTCCATGGAGGCTCTTTCCCTCCGTTCATCCATACTCTTCGCATTATTCCTCTGTCTCGTCTCATTCAACGGTGCTGTATCGTCGGAGGAATCCCTGGAGACGTTCATCGTCCACGTGGAGAAATCCCAGAAGCCGCAGGCTTTCTCTACTCACCGCGACTGGTTTTCCTCGATCGTTCGTGGCGTATCTCCTCTCTCCTCCCGGAAACCTAAGATCCTGTACGCCTACGGCCGCGCCGCCCACGGGTTCTCCGCTCGGCTGACGCGCTTCCAGGCGAGTGAGCTGGGGAAGATTCCTGGTGTGATTTCGGTCATTCCAGATCAAGTCCGCCATCTCCACACAACACACACGCCTCAGTTTTTGGGTTTGGCCCAATCATTTGGGATCTGGCCCAATTCGGATTACGCAGATGACGTCATCGTAGGGGTACTCGATACCGGGATCTGGCCTGAGAGGCCGAGCTTTTCCGATGAGGGGCTGTCTCCTGTTCCGTCAGGCTGGAAGGGGAAATGCGAGGTTAGCGATGAGTTCCCAGCGGCTTCTTGTAATCGGAAAATCATAGGTGCTCGAACTTTTTACAGAGGCTATGAAGCTTCACTTGGAAAGCCGATGGATGAATCTGTGGAATCGAAATCGCCAAGAGACACGGAGGGCCACGGCACACATACAGCATCTACGGCGGCTGGATCTATTGTGGAGAAAGCTGGTCTGTTTGAGTACGCGCGTGGTTCAGCTAGAGGCATGGCCGTTAAAGCCAGAATAGCGGCCTACAAAATTTGCTGGAGCGCTGGCTGTTACGATTCCGATATTCTCGCCGCCATGGATCAAGCTGTTGAAGATGGAGTTCACGTGATTTCTCTTTCTGTTGGCGCATCTGGCTACGCTCCGCCGTACGACCGTGATTCCATTGCGATTGGGGCTTTTGGCGCTATGGAGCACGGTGTTCTCGTCTCCTGCTCTGCCGGAAATTCCGGTCCAGATCCGTATACTGCGGTGAACATCGCGCCGTGGATTCTCACCGTCGGTGCTTCTACTATCGATCGTGAGTTCCCTGCTGAAGTGGTTTTAGGCGATGGACGTATCTTCCGCGGGGTCTCATTGTACTCCGGCACGCCCCTCGGCGATGACAAACTCCCGGTAGTCTACGGCGGCGATTGCGGAAGCAAATACTGCTATTCCGGTGCACTTAACACTTCCAAAGTCACAGGAAAACTAGTGATGTGTGATCGGGGAGGCAATGCGAGAGTGGCGAAAGGCGGAGCCGTAAAAGAAGCCGGCGGCGTCGGAATGATCCTGGCTAATTTGGCTGACTCCGGCGAAGAGCTGGTAGCCGACGCACATCTAATTCCGGCATCAATGGTCGGTCAAAAGGACGGAGACCAAATCCGAAGCTACGTAAGAACGGATCCGTCACCAACTGCCACCATATCATTCAAGGGAACAGTGATCGGAACTTCACCGCCGGCACCACGAGTTGCAGCTTTCTCAAGCCGCGGACCAAACCACGTCACCGCCGATATACTCAAACCGGACGTGATAGCGCCGGGGGTTAACATCCTAGCCGGTTGGACCGGCGCCGTCGGGCCGACCGATCTGGATATCGACGAGAGAAGAGTGGAATTCAATATTATCTCCGGCACGTCCATGTCGTGTCCTCACGCAAGTGGATTGGCTGCTTTACTCCGTAAGGCCCACCCGGAGTGGACCCCAGCCGCCATCAAATCAGCTCTAATGACCACAGCTTACAACGTGGACAACTCAGGAAGCAATTTTACGGATCTTGCCACTGGCAAAGAATCCAGCCCGTTCATTCACGGATCCGGGCACGTGGATCCGAACAGGGCACTGGACCCGGGTTTGGTTTACGATTTGGTGATGTCCGATTACGTGGACTTTCTCTGCGCCATTGGATATGACAGCAAGAGGATTGCAGTGTTCGTGAGGGATCACGCTTCGGTGAATTGCAGCACACCGGGGTTGGGTACACCCGGATCTCTGAATTACCCATCGTTCTCGGTTGTTTTCCGCGGTAAAAACAGCCAGGTAAAATACAAGAGGTCCGTGACTAATGTAGGGAGTGAAAAGGATGCGGTATACACGGCAAAAGTGAATGCTCCCTCAGGCGTGGAGGTGAAAGTGGTGCCGACGAAACTGGAATTTACTGAAGGGAGTCAAACGCTGTCGTACGAGGTTACTTTTACGAGTGTTGGATTAGGGGTTAAATCGTCATTTGGATCAATTGAATGGGTCGATGGGGTCCACCTGGTTAGAAGCCCAATCGCTGCAGTTTGGAGTCTCAACTCGGAAGCTGCAATGGCCATGTAAAAGTAAAATGGAGCGGATTAACCCATTCACCCCTGGTTGGCTGATCTCAATTATTCATACACACTGTTTCTGTGTCAACAAGACAAGAGCTTTGGTCTGACAAGCCAAGGAGACGAGAGCTTTCATCTGCTTTAAGTTCATCTAACTTCTTAAAGTCAACCTTACAATAAAATGTTTCATGGTTGATTTGTCAAAGGTTGCTGTAAATATTTAATTGTGAAGTAATATTATCGTTTGTGTATAAGATGATAATTAGCCATGGACCCGGGCCGGGCCGGTTCCGGTTCCGGGCCGGGCCCGGCCGGGCTTTTTTTTGGGAAGGAAGGCCCGGGACCGGCCCGGGTAGCCACCGGGTCCGGTCCGGGTCCGGGCCGGGCCGGGCCGGGCCTCCGGTTCGGTTATATTTTTTTTTTTTTTTTGCTTTCCTAACCCCCCCACTCACCCCCACACCCCCCCAAACCCCCAAACCCCTCATAACCATCAAGCCCAACTTTGCTAACCCCAAAAAAAGAAAAAAAAATTAAAAAAAAATCAATTCGGCCCGGGCCCGGGCCCGACCCGGCCGGGCCGGTTCGCCAAATTCAAGGCCCGAGCCCGGACCCGGCCACCCCACCGGGCCTAGGCCCGACCCGGACCCGGACCCGAGAACCGGGCCGGTTCCGGGCTTGCACAGTGGCGGGCCGGGCCGGTCCCGGGCCGGGCGGCCCGAACTGGGTCCATGCCTAATGATAATGTTGTTAATATGTGCATTTTCAATGTCTTTAATGAAATGATTGATTCCTCATCTATTTAGAAATTCCAAAGCTATTGGGAAAGATTAAGATGTTTTAGAGTCTGTGATTCTCAAAAGAAGTATAAATATGCACAAATTATACCGTGGGATCGGCCCACCGTGTGAATGGTGTGCCAATCTCAAAACTGTGTTGTTTTCCACTTTTCCATTAAAAGAAATTAGGTTCTTACTCCGTATTTTTTACTAGTATTTCGAATTTTTGTTGCAGCCGAGTTCGTTCTTCCGTTTTTTCTTTCTGTTCACTGCGCTTACGATTCTTATCTGCATTCAATGGATTTTTCGTTAGATGATTCAGCTGTTGTGAATTCGAATTTGGCGATTCTATTCTTGTTAGTATTCATGACAACGTGATTCATTCATCCGGTGACAATAATTTTGAATGTGATCAGCCGGTTAATGTTGAAATTATTGGTAAACATTACAGTTTTTTAGTTTTGTAAATTTAATTTCTCTTATTTATGCTTGCATTATGCTGTAATATCTTTTGTTCCCTGTTTTATATTATTGTGTGAGAATTTGATTTGTTTTTAATTCATATTTGTTGAATTTTGTTGTTTTCCTTTCACGAGAAGAAGAAACTGATTCAAGGGCTTTTAAATTGTTGCATCTTCTCAGTAGAGGTACATTTTCTGTCATGAGATTCAATTTTTGTTTTGTTTGTTTTTAGCTCAATGTTATGTAATTTTAGTTCATTTGTATGTAACTTTTGTTTAGTTTTATGTAATTTAGTTATTAGATTTATGTATCTTTGGTTTATATGTATGCAATTAATGTTGATTAATATGTAAATTATATTCAAATCTATGCAACTTCTTTTCTAATGTATGTAACTTGCGCTACAGTTTATGTAACTTTGTGTGACTTTTATGCAACTTTATTTCTAGTGTGTAATTTATTGTAAATCGTATGTAACTACACTTTATTATTATGTTACTTTGTGTGTGGTTTTATGTTTCTTCAGATTAGGTCCATGTAACTTATGTCCAATATATTTAAGTTTCATTCAAAACTATGCAATTATTGTATGTGGCTTCAGTTAACTTTTTATGTAACTTTATGTGTAGTTGTATGTAACATTAGTTCAAGTGTATGTAACTTATGCTCAACAGTATGTAACTTGCATTCAATTGTATGTATTTTTGTACAGTGTTTTTTTTCATATATCCGCTTTGTGATTTGTCAGATACATTGGCAACTGTTGACAAGACAACTGAGTGTAAATCACTTGTTGGAGTCAGTGTTAAATCTGAACAAGATGCTTATAATCTTTACAACACTCATGCTTTTGAAAATGACTTTGGTATTCGAAGATACAAACGGAGGTTTAGGAGTGGCAATGTAAGTTTGATTATGAAGTCTAGCTTACTGTTGTTGGAAGGGAAGAAACAACAAAAGGGCACTGAAAACAAAATGTATACAAAATTAGATTATCGTTCAGGTTGTAAAGCAATGCTGCATTTTTCTATTAGTCTTGATGGTGAATGGACTGTTTCAAAGCATATTATTGATCACAACCATTCTTTTTGTCCAATTGGTCAAAGACACCTTCTGAAATCACATCGAGGTGTTGATCATGAGTATCTTGAATTTATTATGTTGATGAAGGAGAGTGGGACAAAAGTTTCTGATATTCATCGTATGCTTCAAAAACAGGCAGGTGCTCTTGGTTTCACCAAACGTGATGCTTATAACGTTCTAGAATCTGAAAGGAGTAAAATGTTTGATGGTAGTGATTCTAACACTTTGATTTCTATATTGAAGAAAAGGGCTGAAGTGAAATCTGATTTTTACTTTTATTTTGAGGTAGATGAAGGTGTACTGAGTTGTTTTTTCTGGAGAGATGGACAAACGAGATCGGATTATGAGAGGTTTGGTGATTTAGTTGTGCATGATTTACAGGACTAACAAATATGACATGATTTGTGGTCCGTTTGTTGGTATGAATCATCATTGTCAGAATATTATGTTTGGTTGTGGCTTTATGTTGAATGAAAAGGTGGAGTCATTTGTTTGGTTATTTTAGACTTTTTTGAAATCTATGGGCAGTAAACTACCCATCTCATTTATGACAGACCAATCATTTTCCATGGTAGCAGCTATAAAATCAGTTTTCCCTGAGTCAAGACATCGAATATGCACTTGGCATATAGATGAGAATTCAAAGAAACACATCATGTTTCTACGCAAGAAGATAAATTTTGTTCCTCTATTTGATTATGTTGTTAAACGATGTGACACAGTTGCAGAGTTTGATTTCTACTGGACCGAGTAAGTTATTTGTATTGTGATGTAACCTCTTATTTATTTAGTGTCACTTGTTTATTGCATTTGTGTAACCTGTGTTGGTTTTATATGTAACTTTGTATTGATTTTTAAATTGGTTTCAGGTTGAACAGATTGTATGAATGCAGTGATAATAAATGGTTAAAAAGGCTCTACAGTCATAAAGAAAAGTGGTGTCCTGCATTTTCAAAAGATTATTTCTCTGACGGCATTCTATCTTCCCAAAGAAGTGAATCTACAAATAGATCCATATCCAGAAGACTCTCAAAAACTGCAACATTGTGTGACTTTTACAAAATGTTTGGTGATGTTGTTGATGAGGGGAGGTCAGAAAAATATGGTGAATATTTCAGATGTTCAGAAGGCATCGTTGAGATGGTATTGCTACAAGATTGTATGTAGTCTCATGCTAGAGATGTATACACCGTTGAGATATTCAAACTGTTCCAGAAACAGTATTTGAAGGGTATGTCACACTTTTTTAAATTAAAGACATAGAATTGTGATGATTATGTGTATCATGTTTGGTTGGACGGTGTAGATTTGATTAGGCACAACATTATTTTTAATGAAAATGACAACACATTGACATGCACTTGTAAGCTGTTTTCAGAAGTTGACATTTTGTGTAGACACATATTGTGTATATATAATGTCCATTGTGTGAAATGTATTCCTCAAGTTTATATACTGTCTAGATGGACAAAGGCTGGTATTTTGCAAAATGTTAGTCCTCCTTTTACTCAAAAAACATATGTTATGTGTGGAAAAATAATTGAAGATTCTGTTTGGAGAGTGCAAATGACTAGGAACTTCAATGCTATATTGGCTGCAAGTGCTGGTCTACCTGAAGCTAGGCAAGTATGTGAGGAATGGTATAAATCTATCAAACACTTTTTAGATATTCAAAAAATGTTTCTTCTATGGATGAATTTGGTTCTGCTCCAAGGACAATACTTGATGTTATAAAGGTGAGCGGAATAAAAGAAAAAGAAGCATTGTTGAAAAACAATGCAAAATAGTCAAAGCTCGACATTCTAAATCTCAAAATGTTGCCAGTAATTCAAAAGAAGTTGCACAATCTATTGTTCAAGTATTTTCTTATTTTTATATTTTGTCTTCTTTAATTCACCTTTTCTGATCATTACTTTTTGTTTTGTTTCAATTCTAGGACACTGTCAGTTCTATGGTTCCACAAGGTTATCTTGTTCATCCAGTTGGAGGAATGACTACTTTGATGAGTGTGTTTAGATCTCCACAAGTTTTAGCTCCATACTTCATGCAATCTAATGTTGTGAACCAAATGCAGAATTAGTTTTAGTTTAATTACTGTTTTTATAGTAGATACTTTTTCAGAGACATGCTATATATTTCTTTTTGTTTTAATGTAAATGTTGGAGACATTAATGAGATTTACATTTCGTTTACTGGGTGTTAACATTTTGTTATCCTTTGTTTCCTATCATGCTTACAGTCAAATTTATTAACACATTACTGGAGTTACATTTACTTTATTCTAAAATTATATTTCAATTTAACATATTTTAATCTCAAAGTAAGAGAATTTAAATCTCAAGTTAACAACAAGTACCTGTCAAATAAAAAACAAATTACATCTGAATTCAATAGCAAGTACATCTCAAATAAACCAAGGTTACATCTCAAGTAAAAAGAAGTTTAATTTTATAAATACACTTCAACAATTACTAAACTTTGTTGTTTGTGATTCAGTTTTATCTTTGATAATTTACACAAGTCCGATCCTCACGCGAGTTACATTTTTGTTATACACTTTTTACATAAGGTATAACTGAAGTTACATCATGCACAATCACTTGAATAAAGCACTCCAGAGTCTGTAAAGTACTCCCTCCATCCCCCTATGTTTGTCTAGTTTTACCTTTTTCGTCCGTCCCATTAAGTTTGTCTCATACCTTATTAGGTAATTTTTGAGTGGTTAGAATTCATTCTTACTTTATTCACACTTTATCAATTCAATACCAACCACACAATTCTACTTTTTCTTAAAAACCACACCACACTCTTTTGTCCCAAACTTAGGAGGACGGAAGTGGTAGTTTTTAGTAACATATTGAGACATAGAATTCACAAACTTCACAAAGGAGTCTAATTGCTCAATTATTTTACTTAAGTAGTGAATATATTTTGCTT